AGAACACCTAAAGATAGGCAATAAACCTTAACGCGATGGATGAAGGGGATTAGCCGCAGAGGGGTAAAAATATTGTCCCAATCTCCCAATAGCCTTGTTTGCAGTCTGAACGTAAGCCGTCAACAAATGGAACGATGTTAGTCGTCGACAGTCTGACAAGTTTATCCTCCCTAATCACTCACTTGATCTGTGACCGCGCGATATCGTCTCCATCTAGATTGACTGAAGTGAGAACAGTTTAGTAAGAACAACATAAGCGAATCCTTACCCCCACAAACCTCTCTGTTTATCTGGGCCAGTGTTTGTACAACCAGATAGCGACGACACACATACTGGTAGCACGTCTTCTCTCTCCCCCACTTCAGTTCCTGTAAGACTGCCGAGGGAGATCAAGGCCGATGTGGTCAAGTTGATTGCAAGTAACTGCTGGTTTTAGCGAAAGGCCATTTTGAGTACCCGCGGATGGAGTAAATCTGATTATTATGAATTGGTCTCTTCAGAAAAGTCTCAGGAGGTAAAAAATAATTTGCTGGCAAAAATATAGTAAGCGAAGGATCTATTTTTGGCCTGACAATTACTATTTTCATGTTAAAGCGAAACTTCAAAGTATTGTTGTCTTTTGGTGATGAAAATTAAGAAAATCCTAACAAAGTCACCAGTGTTCGTAGATAAATTGCAGCACACAGAGGTGGAAAGGTAAGTGTGAGTGAAATTAGTGCTCTCAACAAATCACTGGATTAAGTGAGAAAGGGAGTCATGCAATCGTCTCCTGCTTCCCTCTGTGACCCTCACTAACACAATCTTCCCCTCCTCCTCCGCCTCAAAAATAGTTTTTGTCATGTCGCATGGACAGCTTTTGACGAGGAGTGTCGTGATATACACGCATTTTTTTGAGAGAAAAAAGCATCTGCATGCCTGCGAATATGTTGAAGAAAGTGAAGACAAAGCAAAACGTGTGTGCATGTATTGTGGGGATGTTTCCAAATGACCTTAAGGTGGATGCGTGCATGTGTGCACGCGAATAAACGATGTCTAAGCGGGCCTAGGCCGGCATGTTTTGCCGTCGCGGACGTTTTTGTGGGCCTCGCACAAACACAAAATTTACCGCCTGTGCGTACACTCACCAGGCCCCATGACCACCGTCAAAAGGAGAGTTGGATCTTGCTTCAGTAAAATCGCATAAGTGGTGG